CGTGTATGCGACTGTCACAGGTTTTGATTCCCGGATTCTATACACCGTTTCCTGATGTTTACCAGCTCGCGTGTTATCGCGCGTGGAATGTGAGGAACCACAAAAATTTGTTTTCAGATTTATTTTTGTTAAGAGACAAAGGGAACGATTCTTGCTGCATCCTCATTTCGTTAATGAGATTTAAATGATCTTCTATCAGCATACAAAAAACTTTTTGTAAAGAAGTAGATAAAAAATTTTTTTTAGTTTTAAAAGAAAATTTAATATTTATCTCTAATGCGTAAGAAGATAAAAAAGTGAAAAAGTTAAATTTTTATCTTTAAAACGTAAGAAAGATATAAGAAAAAGACAATATTAACATGCGTATTATTTGTACGCTGACAATTATTGTTCTTTCTTTTGGATCGAGGATTCACAATGACCGCAATCGATGTGACTTTAATGGCGATTCCATGATGCGGCAAGGTTCCAGCTTCCGTTCTGCGTGACGCAGCTCGTTTCCGGAACAGTTCTGTGTCCCACGTACTTAGAAAGGAACTCCAATGTGTATACTCCACGGTTATCGATTACTTGCACCACTATTTCCTACGGATGTTGCGTTTACATATCGCATATATATTCCAATGATATAGTTTTTACTCCGTAAATTTCAAATACAACAAGTTTTTTCAAAATAAATCCCACGTGTTGCGGAATGTCGCTTGCTCTGTTGTTACAACACTTCAACAAAAGAAAGTCACAACAGTTATAATAATTCTACCCTTTTCACTTCCGGAATCCTTATTTTTTCCCTTTGTGAGACATCATTTTGGTCCCGACTCTTCCTACACTGTACCGAAATTGCTGACTCGAGAAGGTGAAAATTAGTTTTCAAGAGGGTAACACTCGGTTACGTCGATCTTCGGTTTCGGCGGACTGACGAACAACAACAGGTTCGTCTCGCAAGGTGAGATACACGCTCCGTCTTCTCCTCGCTGTCCCCTTCGTGCACGCATACACGCAGAAATCACCGTGTACAGGTGCACGATAGACGCAGGACTGGAAAGAATCGCGCGCGCACGAAGGAGGAACCTCGCCTGTGGGAAAGTAATGCTACACCATGGGATCGAACGGGCTGGACCGCCGTTACTACCAAAGTTCCATAGCATTCTGCGCACACTACAAAGTCCATCATGCTCGTCGTACTCACTGGTCACATGTACACGGCTGAAGTGACTGACCACCATGGTTCCGATTTCCTCTCTCGCGTCTCCTTCAGTGGTTCTCGAGTAGATCGACTTCGCGGAACGAATTTGCGTACGAGATAACGCGTCCTGTCTTTATGGTCATTTAAATAAAAATATTGCAAATAATTATACTTATCGATAAAATCAATGTAAACTCTGGACCGTGAAAGGATCGGAGATTACAATGGAGGTGACAATGTTTCAATGTAACATTTCGATCACATTTTTCATCACTTTCCGTCTAAGTGATGTAACGAGGTTAAATTGTATGGTATTATCGACGAGTACCTAAACAGGTTCCATAGGCTAAACTGGTAAACCGCTAGGCAGACTTGGCGGTAATGCTATGTAATCCCCTTCCCTCCCATTTAAGTTTGTTACGTCACTTAGCTTGAAAATGATGAAAAATGTGATTGCGACGTTTCACTGTGCAACATCGTCGCAAGTAATTATGCATACTTTCACATTCGCTCATCCTGTGTCCTGACATTATATCTGTGTAATTATTTAAATAAAATTTTGAATGAGAGTGAATTGTCTTATTGTTAGATTAATTCAAATTAAATTCTAATTAAGTAGCAGCTCGAAAACATTTAATTAAAGTAAATTAGTTTTAATTAGATGTGAGATTGTGCTTAAATAGTTTTTTTTGAATATGTGTGTGAATTATTTCTATCGACATTCGAGCGTCTTCTATTTTCTTCGGAAACTTTTGTTATCCGAAGGATCTTGATGTTTGCCGGCCGTTATAGATTTTCATATCGCGAAGAGTATATCGATAAAACCTTGCATTATCCCCCAGTATAATACAAATCTTGCGTATCATATTTTTCATCGTAAAACAGGAGACGTCCGGGGGCGATGTTGCACGAAAATATTCGTCACGAGAGCTTCCTGGCGCGACAGGTCGGCGCTCGATGTGGTTCGTACCTTTTGCATGTCACGATAAGACCGTGCTGCTTTACGAGACGCAACGCTCTTTACATGTGCGCACACACGTTTCGCATTGTCGGCCGATGTGCGTGCACTCGCGAGGCTTATCTGCCGATTGCAGCTGCAGCGGCGCGGGCGGCGATCTAGCCTCGTGGCGGAGCTAATTGAATTTTCTCCCCGAGATCGTCGTGAGCAAAGCCAGAAAGAGAAAGAGAGATAGAACCGATGGTGGAAGGACCTTTCACAGTGAAGCCCCTTGTGTTCGCGACAAAAGGCGCGCGTGTTGCGAACGACCGAATCGCGATAGCACGCGCGGATGCAGCCGTGGAACTCTCTCGCGTTGCGGCGGCGCGCCGACACGACCATCTCGCGCCGGCTCGACACCAAAGTCGCTCGGCGCTTCTTACGGATACGCCGCCGTTAGACGAGCTATGTTTTTTCCACGATCGTCGGTTCTCGACCCCGCCAGACTTGATGGAAAAAATTTGCGAAGTCGAGCGTCGCGCGTGGGCTGCGCAAATTTTCCTGAAACTACCGCAGATTGAAACATATATATGCGATATAAAAATAAGAATTTTTAACTCCAATCAAAAAATATATGTTTCCAGTGACATCTGAAACCGTCAATTCTATGTTAGATATTTGAAAACAAATGAATTGATTAATTGCATTGACAGACACATCGTAATTTGAGATTCTGCTTAAAAAATATGGCGCATCAAGGTTTATTATTTTCGAAGATAGCCCACATTTTCGACACGCCTACGTATGACCGAGATTGGCCTCAAATTACACATGTCGACCACCCCACGCTGCGCTCGGCTGCATTGTGTGGAATGTCATCCAAGTGTCTAATCGCGCGAGCGCTTCTTCCCTTTCAAGAAACCCACACCTTGCCAAATACCTGCGTTACTGATCGGCAAGTGCTTCTTTGTGACACACACACGCCCCCATTATAAATCACCTTTAAAGGACCACCGTCGGAAAGCGCAGCGTGGTCGCAACATTACATGGCTGGAAAACTTAATCGCAGCACGTAACGCGGCGGAAGATGAGAATTTATTCCCTCTTCCTGTACGAGAATAAAGCTCACGATTGCATCTATGCTGACGCGAATGCAAATGCGCGCGGCAATCTAGATCAAAGAGCGTAATGGCAGCTGGCATCGCTATAAATACACACATATAAACGCGGTTTTCTCGAAATTAACAAATTTCTCAAGCGGAAAGTCATTGTTTTTCCTGACGATCGTGCGTATCGTGCGATGTAACGAGTTTATTAAAGGAATCGGAAGGAGAAACGCGCGCGCACACACAGCACACACCATTGAGCCAATCGAGCCGACTCCCACGTATCGTCTCTCGCTTTTCTCTCGCCGAGACGTAAGCCCTTCTTCGTGAGCTCGACGCCCATGCAGTCGCACGTCGGGCGATCACGTAGGACGCACCTCTCGCGTTTTATTTATTTCTTTATTTTTTTTTTTTTTTGTTCTTTTCGAATGTGGCAGGTACAGGCGTGTACGTAGAATATCGCCGTGAGGAGAAAGAAATGGAGATTTGTTGGTCGAGCACGAGTCAAGCGGATCGTACTTCCATGAATGGCTTGATCGCCAAGTATCAACCGGTCGATCTTGTCGCAAACGATTAACCCTCTTGTTATTATTACAAAAAAAATCGATTAATCAATTCGCGCGACACGTTGCAAATGATCTCGACAGTTAATTGAGAAGGTAGGCAAAAAACGATTTTGAAGAAAATTCCATTACAGACTTACACGTTAATCGTTCTTGCGATTTTCTCTGGTTCTGCGACGTGACAATCACCCTAACAAATACGGGCTACAATCATTACGTGACAATTTCTTACATACATCATTAATCTCAATCCAGAAAATCTTTTGTACGCGGAATATATAACCAATAGAAAATATATATAAAATTGCCGGATGTGCTTATCCGTAACGACTAGGAACCTACCAGTCTCTGTTTCCCCACGCTGCAAGACGCGGTCGCGATACTCACGCCAGTTGCTTCTCTTTCAACATTACAACACGGAACTTAACTACCGCGTAATATTTGAATTTCAACTTATATATTTTTGCAGTACGATTATTTTTTTTTTAACTTCCTCTGACTTGAAGACATTCTTTTGCACACGTACTGAAATGGTATATAAATATAACAGATATGGACCTAAATAGCAGACCCTACTTAAAGATCCTTTCAAAACTTTGATTGAAAATATTTCGACTTGAAAATATTTTGCATATCGTGTCGAATATTTTGTTCTCATAACGTTAGATTTAATAACTAATATTATTTCTAATCCTAATATTAATATTTTGTAATATCAGTAATTTTTATTTATACACTTTTGTGAATATTGAGCAATTCTCTAGAAATGTTTCATGTATTAACTTTTATTTGTGAGTTTTACTTGGTCATTTTTTATTGACACTTAGATATTTTTCACAGCTTTGTCATTTTGACGTAAAACTATCTATCCATCGCGCGTACAGATATTCGATTTTAGAATTATCGATCTTACGCGCGGACACTTATATTCGCAACGTTGCGACAATGAAGAGTCTCCCAAAGCGAGAGTGCAGTCTGTTACCTAGCAAATGGCTAGCTTTGTGGACACACACCCTTCATACTGTGAGCGGCGCCGATATCCCGGGGTACCCGTCGTCGCCCCCGCAGGTCTGCGGCGCGCACGCACGCACGCACTCACAAACACCAAACACGCGAACAAACACACAAGCGCAGGTCCGCGTACGTACAGAAGGTCGTTCTCTTTCCTCTGCCTCGTCTGGTCGCCGGTACGCTTACTACGTCGACTTACTCGCGCGTTCTCTTCAGTCGCGACAGAACGCTCGCGCAGCGCACACCGCGACGCGCATTTCAAACCAAGATCTCAAGATCAGACCTTCGTCAAATTATTTTCAAAGAAACGATTTTTTTATTGCATTTGGATGAAATCAACGCGTCGACACAAATTAACGATCTTTCGAACAAACCGAGGACGTTTCGTGTGAAATGTGCGGAGCGATTTATTTACGCGAAATTGAACGTCGATTGTCGTCGCGCGAAATGCACTTGTGCATCCTGACGATGCTTGCAAGATTGTGATTGGTGGATGAATCCTTTCGTGTATTGTGATCACCGCATAGAATTCTTCTAGTGAACTCGATAACTCGAGATACTTTCGATGCAACTCGCTTGTCAGATTTGAACATTTGCCGCGTGTTGAAACGCGCGAATTCAATCGACACGGTCACTCAGTTGCGAGTTTAATAAAAGTGAGTATATGACATAAAACACAGAATAAAATTTATCTTTGATATTGACAACATGTCCATTCGTTTTTCTCTCTGTCTGTGTGCATTTCCTACATTCCTCCCACAACTCTCGTAGTGCTAGATCGATGCAGCCTTGCACGTGACCGCAACATGTCAAGTCGCTGATGATGCATTCGCGAGAGAAACACCGATATCTCTTTTTGCAGTTAATACCTATGCTTACGTAAGCGAAAAATTGGCATATTGCACGACTGAAATTTAATATACTCCTCAAAATTGAATAAAAAACAGCTAGATGTTTAAACCTGTTTTATTAAAAGATACTAAAACATTAATGTATATTTAACATAAAATTTACTTTGTTTATTTACAAAATAGTTTTGCGTACAAATTAAAACTAAATAAAAATTTTATATTATAAAATTTATTATACATATATCTATTGTAGAATACACTACGGAGACAATGTATTACAATGATAACAAACCTGAAGAATAAAATTATCGCTCGCAGATCTCTCGTCTGTTACGCAGCCCGCGAAAATACATCCGCACATTTTGAAATCTGCCTGTTTCTGGCGGGCATCTGCAGTAAACTCTCTGTAGTGTTTATTCAAGTTACACAAAAGGTTTTTCTCGCTTTCCGCGTAGTAGGCGTGCGCCGGCTCGAATGTTGCTGCCGTCTGGTTTCACTCCGACTTCAAATTACACAGACGCGCTTAAAATGTACCGTTGCGAGCGCGTCCGGTTTTTCTCGGAGACGAGCTTCCCGCCACTTTCCACGTTTGTACAGCTCGGCAATCACATTTGCTGGACGCCACTTATCGAAAGGCCTCCGAACCAATTACGGTTTTTCTGCGACCTTGCGAGAGGAAACTCACACAAAGAGATTAAAATTGAGACGTACGATGCTATATACGCGATTTCCAATGTGAATGGTCTTAATAACGAGTACGTTGCCGGAAACGAGTGAAACTCGAAGCAACAATTTCACTCGCGTATTTCCTCTTAATAACGCGCGTTTCAGAGATAGAATGTGGTTCTGAATTTAAACTTCCAAGTAGATCGTGAAATTGCTATTCTCGTTGCATTTTTCTCACATAACGAATTCTCTATGAATCACTCTCTCCGCGTCAATCTCTTCATCCCACACATCGCTTCGCGTTCTGCTCATCGCTCGATGCAGTCAGCAGCCTGACCGTAGTTGCGGACAAAAGAATGAAAAGTATATTAGAAGAATTAAGAAACTTATTAAGTCGCCGTGTAACGTGTGTTATCGAGTCGCGAGATCGGAACGGCAATTGATCGGGTTTACAGCCGGTCGTACTTGTACGTTAGTTCAATGCTCGCGACTAAATGGTAAACGATCCATGGATCCTGATTTCAGGTAAAGAAAACAAGAAGGAATGCTGAAACACGTGTCGGTCTCGCCATGGAGAGGCCGGGCGGACAGCGTGAGTCTCTCTTCCAGCGGCGGCGCGAGTAGCTGCGGAAGCGGAAGTCCTACCCCCGGTCACACACCGCCACCCTCGAGAGCGTCCTCGTGCGCATCCCTAGCACCCTTAACCGCCCTTTCGAGCTTCTCCCCGGCTGATACCGCGCCTCAACAGGTGAGCACTCTTTGATTTCTCACGCATTTGTGCTGATCACTTTCGCAAAATTGTCAATTTGGAAGCGGAAACGTGGAATTTTTCCAGTAGAACTCCCAGCACTTTGTACGTTTTAAAAGAAATATGTTTTTATAGAAAGAAATATAATATTTTTGATAAAGTTTTAATTTTTTTTATATTGCACACATTGTTCTTGAGACAAATTTATATTTGACGATATGTATTAAAATTGTTTATGAAACACTTTTTATGAAATAATTATTGATAAATAGATAGCTCGACTAATATATGTGCAATATTAAAGAACGTGTGTGTGTGCGTGTGTGGTAGCGCTATTTATCTTGGAGTAACGTACGTTTCACGTCGCCTGCGGGAGACAGTAAAGAACAACGCGGGGGAGAGAGTGTAAAAAGTGACGATGTTGCGTTTAATAAAGCAGACAAGAGAGAAGAATAAAGCGCCATTCGCGGGCGGTTCGCCAAGTGACGTAAAGCGGTTTAGCAGAAAACGAGAGCAACACGTTTTTCAGCGTTTATTAACAGCTGGACCACGTGCGTATCTGCGTGACGGCGTCTTATAGATTTGTCGCGCCTAATCCATGATTATTTCTGTCGCTTAATCCTGATTACTCATAATTCAGAAAACGTCACATCTTTGTTTTAAGCTCGATTATATAGTCAAATATAATAATGTGCAAATTAAATAAAAATTAATAAGTATTTTTGATATTTTGAATATGATATTAAAAAATTATACTTTGTTTGCAGATTTGTTAAAACTTTCATAACACTTTACATCGTGAAAGTAATAACTACGTAATAAAGACGGTCGAAGCGTTGAACATTCGGAATGTTTGTAACTCTTGTAGCTGGGACCAGTTTCAATGACAACCGCGTATAATTTCTCACGGCTTCTCTTAGGTTATGCTGTAGTGTAACTGAACTGAACGTGCGGTTTCGCGTCCCTTTTTGCGCGAACAGAAACATGACTCTCTCGAGGGCCTTCGTCTCGGAAAGACGTTTAGGCAAGGAATATTTTTCTTCGCCATCTGCGCAGACTGTAGTCAACACACATGCATCGTATCATTTAAAATCTCGATTTTCACAAAAACATCAAAAGTAAAAAATCTTATAAAAATTAAAAGTAAAAAATTTTATAAAAATTTATTTTTGAAAATTGTGATATTTTTTTAAAATCTGATTGATCTTGTTCAAAACAAAAAATAATTTAAAATTAAGATGAAACCGAGGAAACAGAGTTTCCAAGTCGCGAGGACATAATTTTATTATACGTATCAGAATTGTTTCTTGTGAATACTTCTAATAAGCATGAAACAATGAAGTCATCAGCAAAGTAAACAATAAAGTGCAAACTTTTTCTGGGACAATTAATTGTAAGTGTCTTTGCAATTTAGCACGTCTGATTACGATCAGGGTCAGTGCATTCAAAATTGTTGCACTCGTTCAACAAACATCACTCATCCTCGTTTCCACTCGAGCTCTAAATATTGCACGCGCGATTCTTCTCAATGCTTACGCGGCGAAGACTTTTCATTGTATTTGCGCTCGTCTGACCCGTTTCGCACGCGGGTTGCAAAGGTCGTCACAAACGTACAGTCGCTTCCGTTAATACGTCCGAGATACCGACTCTCTGCGCATTACCTCTCTATATGTACGAGATCGTACATCATAACTATAACTTTTAAATAATTTAAAGAATATGTATTGGGGACATTTGATTAACATTTTAATTAAAATTACAATCACTCAGTTCCATTAGATAAGAATTATAAGCCACTACTGAATACAAAAGTAATATAAGCCACGGTAGAATACACGCGCACTTCGTATCTTTTGAAATAAATTTTTCAATCGTGAGACGTATTCGCGAGAAGTAGATTCTCGAAGTAGTCTTTTATGCTGACAAGAGAAGTATCTTCTTATTGTGAGGAGGCAACATTAAGCAGGGATGTGCGGGACCTCCTCCGTTTTTGAGGCACTAGATATACGTGTGTATCGTCCCGCAGTTTTTGTCGACGGAACCGAGAATTCTCTGTGAGAACCCCGCATACTGTGATGTCACACATATTGCAACTGTGTTCACAATGCGCAGTGAAAAACTAAACGAGCCCCGCGGTAACCATGGCGGATCCACTTAATCGTACTCTGCCGGTCGGACTTTTTTTTTATTGCTCGTTCACGATTAGGCGGTACGTTTCCAGAGGAAACCTTGGACCAATTACACGCGCGAGTTTCACAGAATTCGCAATTAACAACGGAATACTAGATACGTGGGAGACTCGTAAATTTGACAGTCCCGTGCAATTTTAATTTATTTACGCTTTTTGATTTTTTTCATTTTCAACATTATTAAAATTTTAAATAACAAATATTTGATATTGCTGAAAACGTAGTTTCATATGACGATTGTTTTACATAAGTTTAAAGTAAATAATTTGTTTATTTTGTATTCGCTATTGCATCTAGTTTTGTTACGTTATTCCTATAGTCACAGGCCTGTTCTGGCCCTTGCAATATCCGGCACGATAGACCTCGTTTCCGGCTTGCGATTCTTCAGTGTCAGTCTTTGTCAGTCGATTGCGATAAACTTTATTCCGGTTGTGGAAGTGGTGTAGATCACATATTTTATTCGACGCAATATTGTATTTTTTTTATCGTCAGTTTCTATTTCATTATATTATTGTCACATTACTTTATCATTTTTAGTTTTAGCATATTATATGATTCCGTGTATGTTTTATCTCTCTCTCTCTCTACGTATTTTCTCGTTGATTTTCTTAAAGAGGGAGTAAATTCTATCTTGCGAAAATGACAATCGGAAGTGACGAAATTATCAACGCGACATGCCATCATGACTGTGTGTGGATTTCGAAAACGTTCATTGTCCCATCGTTCTCTCGGTGGGGAAACTTCTCGCATCGGTGACTCGTAGAAGATCGGACGTACGACATGGCGGTTCGCAGTCGGAATGATCGTAATTCAAGGTCGCGCGGTTGCAAACCTCGCTGCATATTTTCCAACGTACATTTCTTGCTTTTTCAACATTTATTTATTGTTTAACGTATTTATTACAACAACTCTCAATTACGAAATAGTTTTAGATTTTAATGTAATATTTTTTAATGATTTCCAACATTGTCTTTTTTCTTCCTACTCCGATTTCTCTGCTCACGGAAGCGGAGAAGGAAGAATCTACAATAAAGTGTGCACTTGTGTTAATTACCACAAGCCGCCTCACCCGCATGACGGCGACAAGAAGGAAGATACGTGGAATGAAGCAACAGAAAAAGAGCGGGTATCACGAAGCAACGTCTTCTTCAAGGTTTTCACCGTAAAAGAGTTCCCGTATAACGACGAACGTCGGATCGTAATAGTTTATAATCAGAATACTCACTCAGAGATCCTTGGCCAAGGATAGCTCCTTCATAACCACAGGTGGGATGCCGAGGAAAAGATGTTCTTTTGAAAGGAAAATAAGAAATAATAATAATAAATAATCTCACGTTTACGCCCGATCGACGGATTCGATTGATCGCACATTAGGATGCGCTTCTTCGCCGATTGGTTTGCTGATCCGGTTCTGTCGCCATCTTTAACCACTATTTACAAAGTGCCGAACGCGCGATGCGGCGCTTCTTTCTGTTACACGTCGAAGATAATTATAGATTATTATCCGCTTGCGTTTTAAAGGGATGGAAAGAAAGATGAACTCTTTTCTCTGCTAGAAACGGATCGAAGGCTTGGGAGTCTTTACCGAATGGGACGATCTTAAGCAAACATACTGCCGCCGTATGAAAACACTTGGGACCGCGGAAAAAAAGTAGAAACTACAACCACCCCGTTTTTCATCATCGGTCGTGTGGAATTTCTCATCGCTGACGTAAGCGGAATGATGTCTCCATAATCTCTCCAGATTGAGATCGACCTCGTTTACACATGAAAGCACGCGAAAGCTGAGGTGACACGACATAACCCGCGCGTGTACAGCAGATAAAGAAAAATTCAACCACACCAAAAATTAATTTTTTTGCAAAAATATTTTTGACGTTTTATCTCATTTGAAATATATACTCTACTAACACGTGCAGAATTTGTTGTGATGCAATCTGTTATCGCGTGCGCTAGGCGAAGAAGCAAATGCTTTGTGCGTTTGACGATTACGGCCGGAAGTATGTAACGAACAAATGCTGCTATGGATGTGATAAGATTATTGTTTTCAAGTTGGAAACGTTATTATTGATAGGAAAAATTTTGAGAAAATTTTACTTCATATTTTCGAAAACAGTTAACCAAAGAGATTTTACAAATAGAAAGAAATCTAATGTTTTTTTTTTTTTTTATGTGAACAAATGTTCTTTCGAAGCACGCACTCGAAGTTAGCAATGTAGCGACTTTGTGTTGAATACTTGCGAGAGTTCATCAATCGTTTCATTCATATTTCGCGGCAAGTATCTGTGAATGGAAAAAAGAACGTGGGTCAGTCGCGCTGTGTTTATCTCGTTCGAAGCGTGAATCTTGTTCTATTCTTACGAGCAACGATTTTATTTTTTCACGATACGGGAGCAGTTCGCGGAAAAACGGGTAAATAGCAGTGATATAAAGAGCGCGGGCAAGAAAATCGTCGATAGGGCGCGAGAGACGCCGAAGAGGCGTGAGATAAACGAAAAGAAGAAATCGTTTTATATTACACGATTTTATTTATAGAAAAGAGAGAGAGAGATCAGTATGTGTTAGGCTTATTGCGTCAGGAGCTGGACTACAAATTCTACTAATTGATGACCGTCGGAAATCTCGCTGGTTCTCCGAAAACAATATTCAAAAAAACTGAGCGCGTTCGCGACTCGATGAGACTTTGAAAATAGACGTTTCAACCTGGATTACAGCAACTGTCGGATTTTTCCACTCGGCGAAACTGATCCGGCACGCCCGATCTAAAACGTACCAAGCGCTCAATGCCACCGAATAATAATTCCTAATTGA